CTCCTCATTGACAAAGCCCTAAAGCTTGTGTTCACATCAGGTGCTAGAAATGGCTGTATGGTTTTGCTGCCGAAGGGGTCACTGTGTCCACCAGCACGCCTCATGGCTAAGCACAGTCATGGTAGGAACTTCAGGCCAGACCAACCACTTGTAGACTCATTGCAAGCCCACATATCCCGTCTGTCTAGAGCATTTCTAATGCACGAAGCAGCTGGGAACAGCTCACAGGTCCAGGTCCCGACCTCTCCAAACAGCCGCGAGAACCCACCATCGGGTCAGAGCATGCGAGTCCTGATACTCTTCCTCCTTTTTCCCTGCCAATCCTGCCCAGGTTCCTCTACAGACTTCTTTGCATCCCTTCCAGGTTACATCACTGCCAATGGTGCACCCCACACACCCTTCCTCAGGCTTGGAGAAAAGTAAAGATGGTACAAGTCCCCATAGGTAGAAACATAAGCTTCACTTTGCACAGAGGAAGCTGAAGATGGATATCTCTTCCTCTGGGTCCATGAGAGCTCCTTATTTTTCTACCTTTGGGGATTTGTACCATCTTTAAATTTTCCCTAAGCCTGAGGAAGGGTGAATAAGCCCAAAAGCTTGCAAAGAAAGAATCTTTTTTTTTGCAATGTTTTAGTTGGTCTAATAAAAGATATCATCTCTGAACCAAGAGTTTTAAAGTTTTGCATTTCTTTTCGTCTCAGCCCAACATGGCTACCAAATACACACAATTTTACATGCTTTTCTGTTTGTCCGTGTGGCCCCTGACAGATGTTCACTTTCAGACGTGATGGGATCTAATCCTGGATGCCAACAAAGGATGCGTGATTTTGGGGTCAGGGATTAGATCCTAATCACACTGTACTTGATGGTGCAGGGGGAGCCCAGGTTTGGGAGCCTGAGCCCAGCAATATGAGACCAATCAGATGGTTGTTAATTAGCACCAGGAATCAAACTGGTCCCTGGCTTCAGCTGACCATCAACTCAGTGCACAGGAAGCCCAACACCGGCATCAGGTTCCCACGTACGGGGAGCTATAAAACCACACGTGCTATGCAGCTGGGCAACACACACAGTTTTGACAGGTCCCAGCCATGTGTTCAATGTAAAATGTGATACAAACAAGCCACAAAGTTATTCCGCATTATATGGGGATTATATTCCATTATACGTGGAATAAATTTGGGGCTCATTTACTACATTATCATGCCTTACGTTTAGTTGCACATGTGGCCGGGTTACTGTTTATGGCACGATTAACTTGTTAATTATGTCTTCAATGCAATGTGTGTCAGGGCCCTATGGCTATAGCACGCTCCACACACAATGTACATTTTAAAGGTCACTTTTGCCATTCATTTTTGGTTCTGATTGAAGAAGAGCATTAAGCAGCATTTTACCCAGAGAAGCTGTGCTGTGAATCTGAGGAGGGTGCACTAAAGTCTCCCAGCGAAGCAAATCCTTCCTTTAAATGAAAGAGCTAGTCCAGGCCTCACTGCAGGGGGGGCAGTGGTATTAATGGATGTACATTAAGGCGTTCGGAGGGATGCTTAGATAATGTCGCAGCTGTTATTAACAGCGGGCTGCTGCTTGTGACCTGGATGCTGCTGGGAGCTGCTGATCCCCTCTGCAATGCTCTAATCCTCCTCAGTCTGTGCTGAGGGCCGGTCTCTTGCTCTTACTCTCGCTACCGCAGCCTCCACTTACCCTTGCTGCCAGTTCCTGTCCTCACTGGCAATGGAGAGGGGCAAATTCACCAGAGAGCACTTGGCACCCGGGACTGGTGACACACACTATGCAGGCAGAAGAGGGGGCATGCCAGAGTGAACCACGCGCCACCAATCCTCCCTGCCATTGCAGGATGGATTAGACCTTCATGAGCTAAATCTGAGCCAGGAGGCTGCCAATCCCTGTTGTACAATATCACGGACCAGTCTCTTCTCCCGCGGAGGCACAGCTTTCTTTTCAGCTTGCTGCTTGCACTAATGCATCCCAGGGAGGAATTTAGCCTGAAATGTCCCACTTCTCATCTCAACACCTTGACACTGACTTCTCCCTTTCAGCCGCAGGGCATATTCTCATCACAAATTCACCCCTTGGAGGTCCCAAGCGCTAAGGTGTCCCCAGAGCCAAGGTAGACAGTCGGGGTAACTTGCCGCAAAGAGGGCTCAGGAGTGCAGAGAATCTGCTCGATGAGGGGCTGGAGCAAGGTTGCATCTAGATGTGTTGGTATAAGTCACATGGAGGCCTGTCATAAGCATCAGATATGTCCAACCTGCGATCATGGTAGTTAAGGTTCTTCGAGTAAATCCAATATCTTTTATTAGACCAGCTCAAATACTTGGAAAAAAATCTTCTTAGCAAGCTTCCGGGCACAAATACCCTTCGTTGGGCTTTGGTAGTGAAATGGGAGACTTATACAGTTCAGCTATGCAGAGCCCTTTCTCTCTTTTTCTCTCTGTCTATACACATACATACATACACATAAATACATACACATATACACACATCTATATATACATACATACATATATATAATATATACATACATACACACACACACATATATAGATATCTATATATATCTATATAGATATATATAGATAGATAGATAGATAGATATACACAAAGACACACACATTCAGTTTTGGACAAACTTTTAGCTTGTTTGCTCTCCGCCTTGCTCCCCAGCTTGGGCTAATGTGGAAGTTGTGTCTCGTACAAAATGCAGTGTTTAATAAACTAATTATACTGGGAGGGGAAGGATTAGCTGCAATAGCTGCAAACATCTGCACTAGACTAAAAGTTTATCTGCCTGTGGAAACCCCTACCGCCATGGGGACAGAGTTTCAGAGCCTGAGTCAGGCTGGGCTTCATAAGGAGACAGAGGGACAGATAGGATGTGGAGACAACACTGCTCAATCTCCCTATCAAGTCCACTTAGGAGAAACCTCTCCATCTGCCCCCTCTTCCCCACTTGTGTAATCAGAAAAGTAGGCATGGAGATGCCAAACGGAGAGCTCTCCCCTCCAGCCAGGTCCCACCCGTGGTTGATTCACGGACCCCGAATCCTCACCCCATCCGAGACACAAGAAGCGCTTGCGGATGATACGGTTGCGCAGCCGGCCCGTCACGGCCATGTAGGATTGCCAGGCCTCCGTCAGCACCCAACAGAAAGAGGAGAGGAAGAAGAAGTGGAGGAAGGCAGCCACCAGCGTGCATATCACCTGGAGATGGGAGGAAAAGGGAACGGATGAAAAGGGCAGCAGACGGAGACAGCAATGCAGACAGCCGCACTTTTCACGCCGCGTCCCGGGAGGAGAGACCGCAGGAGCCCAGAACTGAAAAGCCACCAGGAATACACCAGACCGAGACGACCTGTCATCTAAAATCAGCAAAGCACGGGAGCATGCCCTCAACTTGGTAGCATCCCATCACATACGTGGAGGCACGTGCTTCAGTGTGGTTAAAAATCCTGCTGAAGCGGGGCTAGGTAAAATCCTGTCTTATCCAAGTCAGAGGCAGCTTTGCTCTTGGTTGCATTGGGATCAGGACAATTACTATTTATTCTCCAAAAGGGCCCAGCCCATGGTCTTCAGGTAGAGGACACATCAGCTATTAAGCTGGCATGGAAGTTAACCTCAGTTAAAATGATCATAAAGCCCATGCTACTGGCAGCAAAATCATGAGGAAGGTCATTTGGTTAATGGCCCTGACAGCACAAGATTGCTCCTTCCACACTGAAAGCATTTAGACCTGGGTGAAATGATGGCTACTAACTGCTATCTCCAAGCAGATGAGAGGAGGAACCAAAGGAGGAGAGGAATGGGACAAGAGGGCATCGCTGAGGGGTAATGGGATGGCATTAAGAACAAGTAATTTTGGAGAGACAGTGAGGAGAAACTTCATAATAATGAAAGCTACCCCACTGCCCAGCGGGCCCCCACGGGAAATGGAAGATGCATGAGACACAGAAATGAGCCCAGGAAAGCATTATCAAATGCGCCGTACAGAGCAATCCTGCCCCGGCAGGGAGACAGATTGAATAACCGAAAAAGCACTTCCCCGGCTCTCGGCTCCTGAGGCCCAAAAGCATCTCTTGGTGTAAACGGAGGCAGCTCCACTAACCCTGGCAGAGCTCTGCCTGTTTTGCACCACCTGACAATTGGCCCCAGGGATTCAATATAGTGGAGACTGAGATGAAGAATACAAATTCTCGTGTCTCCCGGGGAGACGCAATGATAGAAACTAGATTTAAAAAAATGGGTCTGGATAAGGAAATGGCTTATGGCACTCAGGGAAGGCAGGAGGGGTTGCAAATTAGTGCTAAGATTATTTTCCCTTTTACAATAACTGCGAGAACAGAGCTGAAGAAAAAAAAAAAAAAAAA